TAGCATAATTTCTCCTCTGTATCCTAAGTAACTATGAAATTTTTGCTTATTTCTGTCAGATAATAAATAACGAAGTACTATTTCCACATTTGGAGACGAAGAGAAAATATCTTTGGTTTCATTTTGAAGCTCCTTAGAATTTTATTGGTCCTCTGAACATGATAAACTTTAAACAAAATAAATTCAAATTTGGAAGAAAATGCATAGGACATCTTGAATAGTATTAATTTGCAGTTCTCATTATTTGTAGATTTTGTATTAGTGAAGTTACCTACTCAGTAAATATTTTTATCCCCAAATCAATTCTCATGGCACTTTTCCAGTCATTCTTGGACATTTGCAGAGCTGTAAAATATTCGAAGCTGTGGAGGCGCACATTCCCAGCTAAGTTTGAATAAGGCAACACTCTGCCTTCTTGTTTTAGTTCTCATGTTGTAAACAAGTCTTTTCCGTGGTCGATTTAGTGCCACATTTTTCACACTTGTGCTGTTGTTGATGATTTTGTGATTTAAAATGGCCCCCAAGTGTAATGCTGAAGAGCTTTCTAGTGTTCCTAAGTTTAAGAAGGCTGTGATGGTGCTTTACAGAGAAAATACCTGGTAAATAAGCTTCTTTCAGGATTGGTGAGCTCTATGTTAATGAATCAACAGAAACACATAATACAAGACTATGTATGATCAGCTGGCAAAAATGTTGTGTTCAGAGGCTCGCAGGAACTGAACCCTGTATTTCTGCTAGGAGCAATGATTCAGTGTTTGCTAATTCAGTGTTAGCAGTGGTTTTATAGAACTATACAAATTGACTTTTTTTATTTGTACATGAAACAGACTAATAATGTTCTTATAAAAGTATTGTTTCCAAGAAATAAATACCAAATGTTTTCCTCAATTTGTTTTGAGTGAACAAATAATCAGCAGTGATTTCATCACAAAATCCATATTTATAATGAAAGTATTTATTACAAATACAAAAACTTCCTTTTGTGTTTAACTTTTATTCAGTTTGAAACTCTGCCTAGTCAGTGATTCCACTATGCAACTTAATTTTTTTGACCAAATAATTGGCACAAATGACAAATTTTAAGAGTTTGAAATCATGCAAGAACTCAGCATGAAACTGTATTATAGTTTATATCTCTTTTTGCACCAAATGTTGAAGCTTACTAATGATAACATAAGGACCTGCTTTACGCTATTTCTATTGAGACTATCGTAAGGCATGCTGAAGTTTAAAAAATTTTTGTGAAACATAAGGCAGGATTTTTGTTTTCTAGGTGTTTTTTTTTAAAAATTTGGTCATTGATATAAAATAATTGCATTTATGAGGGGAAAAATAACCATGGCTGAAATATCAGATAGGAGACTAAGAAATATGTATATAAGCCTTACCATGCTGTGCAAGTACCAACATGAACAAATGAGTTTATTTGGTGGGCAGAACATCAGGACAGTTGAAGTACCATTAAATATATTTTACCAAAGTGCTCATCATTTTTACTCTGTGAAAATATTATTTTGTCAAAACAAATTAATAGATAACATCTTAGTAGTTATTAGCTGTGGAATGAAACTTTATATGCATTATCTCATTTAATATAGCAGCCTTTTAGGCTCTAAGTATTATTGTTTTCCACATTGCATATGAAGAAACTAAAGCTTAGAACAGTCAAGTGAATGCCCCATGGTTCTGTAAGTAATAACTGGTGGAGTGGTTATTTAAACTCCTCTTTTCAACTCCAGAGTCCGCAACACTGCTCCCTCCATGACTTGCTTCACAACGCCTGCATTGGATATCATGTCCTTTTGAGAGTTTTATCATTTTTCTGACAGTTCCACCCACATTCCACATCACTGTTACTCAAAGGAAGATTGGGAGTGGGGATGGAATGCTATAAACACCCTTTCCTTTCTCCAACGGACAAAGTTATTATATTAATCTTTGTCAAGTGGTTTATTGTACTGTGTTCTTGCCCAGTTTCAACAACTGCTTTAAAAAAAAAAAAGGAGTCCCAAAAGGACAATTTGCAGTATTATTTAACAGTAGGAGAATAGAAAATACAGTTTTCTTTGTCTGAATTATGTGTACATGAGCCTAAAACTTCTACTCTCCCCATCAAGTTTTTTTATTTAAGAACCAGCTGCTGGCTTTACCTCTTTCTACCTGCCGGATGCTTTCTGAATCACATTGTGCTCAAATTTAGTGATCCCCATTAAAGTCCAGAGCCTAGGGAAATCACCCTGAATCTGTGTTCCCTAGCAACGTCCCTGAGAGTAGCAACAGCTGCTTCACCATATGCCACCAGAAAGATGCTGTGGGGGAAATACACAGAAATTGATACTAAATGCCTTAAATCTTGAGACTTCAAATACCATAGTCACCGTGTTTGATTTTTTTACCTTTAGTTGTGCTAAAGCAAAGAGAAAGATAAGTTTAAGTATCTAACATGACAGGCTAGATGCTTAGCATTCAATGATGTTTTCAGATATTTTCTTGCTAAGATAAACACAGAAATAGCCAGGATGAAAATAAAATACCCTTATTTATAATTGTGAGTCTCAAAATGTTAAATATGTATTAAAATTAAGTTGTACATATGTTATAATATGACATATTTAAATATTAAGCAAACTTAAAATTCCTTGCAAATTTTTGTTGATATTCTGTATTTTTTCTGTGTTAATTATTTCATTCTCTGTTGTTTTGTCTTTTCCAGGATGTCATATAATTAAAGTCACATTAGATAACCTTTTCAGATGAGTTTCTTTCACTGAGTAATATGCATTTAAGTTTCATGCGTGTCTTTTTATGGCTTGATAGCCCATTTCTTTTTTGTAAAAAATTTTGCATTGCTTGGATGTACCACAGTTTATATCCATTCACCTACTGCAGGACATCTTGGTTGCTTACAAGTTTTGGTAATTATGACTAAAGCTGCTATAAATATTCATGTGCAGGTTTTTGTGTGGACATGAGTTTTCAGCTTATTTGGGTAAATAAATACCGAGGAGCATGAATGCTGAATTATATAGTAAAAGCAGGTTTAGTTTTCAAAGAAATAACCCACTGTCTTCCAAAGTGACTGTGCCATTTTGCATTCTCACATCCTTGCCATCATTTGGTCTTGTCAGTGTTTTGGATTTTAATCATTCTAGTAGATGTATAGTAGGAGCTATCTTATTGTTGTTCTGATTTGTGATTGCCTAATAACATGTGATCTTGAGCATCTTTTCATATGCATACTTGCTATCTATATATCTTTTTTGGTGCCATCCCTTGAGATTTTTTGCTCGTTTTTTAAGTGGGTAATTTGTTTTTTTAGTGTTGAGTTTTAAGAGTTCATTGTATATTTTGAATACCAGTCCTTTATCAAATAAGTGTTTTGCAAAGATTTTCTCCCTGTCTGTGGCTTGTCTTTTTATTATCTTAAAATTCTATAATAAAAATAAGAATTCAATTATTATAGCTTAACCACTAATAGAGAAACTACTACATTATTGTGCTTTGTGTTGTCGGGAGGAAAGGTTATCTTTTTTTCTCTGCAAAAAACAAATTTTCCCACATTTAAAAATCATTGTATTCCTTTTCTTTGTATCCCCCATCCCTTTATAGCTTAAGGTCCTGTAAGTCTAAGCAATTCACCATAAGGAGGAAGAGTGAAAAATTATCTTGGACTCTTTGTTTTCATCAACAAGTGACCTATTATAGTAGCTGTAATCCATACAATAGCTGGTAACTCAGTAAATATACATGTGGATCATGCCTTTGGGGAAAAAAATCTTTGATATCCTTTGAATTTCTACTCAGTTTTCAAATTGTTCCTAACAATTTTCAAAATTTCTGGTCACCCTCACATTTTGTTTCTTGGTTTTGTTTTGCTAGTCGTTACTATAAATAGCTAATTAAAACAAAACCATATTTTAAGATCAGGTTATGCTATGAAATTTAGTTTAATGATTTTATACAAAAATCAGTTTTCCCCAAACTTTTGAAATACACGCAGTCAACCTGGGTTTATAAAACAAGAATTTTTTTTTGGAAAAGAGATCATGAAAGTAATCATTTATATTAGTTAATGGCTCTTCCTGATTTCGGTTTTCTCAATGAATTTATTTGCTTAGGAATTTACTTATTTTAAAGCTAAGATCAAATAGAAAGTCTAGGCCATTAGTTTTCTATACATTTGTATACAATGAAGTCCAGTATTTATAACCGATAAGTGTGGAGCTGCTCTTGTTGGAGGTCATTTGGGTGGCAGTGGGGGAGACTGGGCATACTCTCTTCTGTCTTTTCCCAGTTATCTCTGAGGAATCCATAGGGCTATATGGAGAAGAACTGGAAAATTAGTCTAAATTATGATTTTTATGTAAAGCAACAACAAAACTAAAACAGTCATTATTAAGCTACTTATCATGGAGCTCTAGGTGTCTAATTTATAAGGTTTCTGAATTAGACTTCAGGGCCTATGTTACATTTTATTACAGTCTACAACATAAATGTAGACTGGCAAGAATTAAACTAAAAGCCTGTTTCACAGCTGTTATGCATCTGGGAGTTTGGTTAAAAGGGGCTAGCTTAGCTTAGCCTGAGTTGTGATAAAAAGCAGGGTCTAGAGGCCTTTTAACTCAAGTCCTGTGCTCTGATCAGAGCTCTGTTTAATACTGGCCCATAAGTCCACATAATTGTAATTTGTAAGAGTCTTTAGGATACCAGTAACTTTTAAATCTCACCATGTGAAAAATTATTATGTCACCTGTGGACTTTAAGAGTAGTTAGCAAACTGGGATAAAGGTGATAATCAAACCAAATATTTCTGGAACTTTCTCTGTCCAAGTTTTCTACGTATGATGTACCAGCTCTTCTTTGTAATATATTACTCCTTAAAATGCTTTAATGAGGAATGTTAATCTGATAAATTAAGGCTTCATGTGAGAGTTGTCGTACCACTGGGAAAGGCAGGTTCCTTTTTAGTGTAAGCTTTTTACATTTTGGCTTTCTCCCAGGCTTGCAGATGGGTCAGGGGCTGTGGAGAGTGGCCAGAAACCAGCAGCTACAGCAGGAAGGCTACAGCGAACAAGGCTACCTCAGCAGAGACCAGACCAGGAGGATGGCTGCCAGCAGCCTTTCTAACGCCAGTCATCGTAAACAAGTCCAAGGAGGCATTGATATATATCATCTCTTGAAGGCAAGGAAATCCAAGGAACAGGAAGGATTCATTAATTTGGAAATGTTGCCTCCTGAGCTAAGCTTTACCATCTTGTCCTACCTGAATGCAACTGACCTCTGCTTAGCTTCATGTGTTTGGCAGGACCTCGCTAATGATGAACTTCTGTGGCAAGGGTAAGCTCAACTCAGATATCTCTAAACAATCATCTTAACTGTTCTTTTTATACTAGTTATATATGTATTATGCAGTATTTCTTTCAACCGGGGCTTGTATTTGAATTGCTCTTTATTAAAACCTGGAAATACAAAGATAAAGTTATCATCACAGTCAAATTTGACATTAGGAAAAGAAGGACAGCATGAAAGAAAATAATGAGTTACAGTTAGACAAGAGGCTACCAATCAAGATGCATCAGTTTATTCTAAAAATACAAGTTGTTAAATGAGAATTTATAATCCAGAACTTAGTGTTCATACCCCTGGTGTAGAATAGGCATACTTAAAAATCAATAAATATTCTTCAAATCTTATTGTTTTTATTGGTTACAGATGGAGTATGTGTATGTTTGTTTACTCATTTATATGTTTCTTTTTATCAGCGGTGCTTGTTAGCATAAACTTTAACTGGTGAATATTTCATCTGTTTTTAATTTCTTCCTAACTACTATGTAATCTATGAAGTAGGCAAATATTAGAAAGCAAAAAAATCATCTACTTACTGAACTGAATGTAGATTATAGAAATTTTAGCAGTTATTATGCCAGTTTAAATTTAAGATATAAATCTAAGAATGTTTGGTGGAATAAAATCTACTGTATGGAAACTACATTAATCATTAAATATACTTGAGCTGTGAAAATGTAACCAAACATAGGAGAATCATTGGTTTTCTAGCATTCTTTACCAAATCTTATTTAAGTCTCATTATTTTTAAAAGAGACTTCATAATGATAGAAAACATATCTTTAAAAAGTCTTTTTGAGACTTTAATTTCTAAATGAAAATCTAATTGAGAGAATTAATAAATTATCTAAGTAGACAATCTTTAGTCAAAATGTATTACAACAGTGTCATTCCTCACTCATGCTTCCTGAGGCAACAGAATTACAGTATTAATTATATAGTTCATTTCTCAACCTGTAAATAGATATAAATCATCAATATCATCTTCTCATTTTCATTGTCTTATCATAGTGAAGGTACTATGGAAATTCTATTAATTAGTAATGTTTAAAATAAATTATGGTTATTAATTTTTTTAATGATTTAGTAGTATAAGAGGAAATGAAAATACTTTAAAACTGACTCATTCTATTTATAATCTCTTTTCTACATTTTAGTATTTCCAGAAAACTTATGTTCTTATCTTTGAAAAAAAGTTTATATCTCAGCTCATCTGAATGAACTCAGCCAGAATGTAATTTTCATTTAGGATTTAAATCTGGAGTGTTCATTTCTAAAAGAAATGCTTCCTTTTTGTTTACCACATAATTATGCCTATTTTTATGACACTTGGATTTTTATTTCTTAGTGATAAATAACTTCTATTTTAAATTAAAAGATGGCTTAGTTTTTATTTTAACTTTGGATGTGTTGAATACTTACTAATTTGGGAAGTTGTGTTGCTTAATAATAAAACTCAAAAGCTATGGGACTAGAGTAAAGAGGCTACTAAAATATTGATAATTTTCTAAACAAGTTACTAAACTTACTGTTTTAAAATCAGTTATTTTATGCCCGGGCGGGCATGGCTCAGCAGTTAAGCGTAGACCTAGGATCCAGGCGATCAGGGTTCGATTCCCGGTCAGGGCACATGCCTGGGTTGCGGGCTACAGCCGATCAATGACTCTTTCATCATTGATGTTTCTAGCTCTCTCTTTCCCTCTCCTTTCCTCTCTCTGAAATCAATAAAGATATGTTAAAAAATAAATAAAATCAGTTATTTTATAATAATAATGCAAGGATATAAATTAACTATTAAAAAGATGTTCTCATATTAAATTAGATATTTTACCCACTATCCTCACAATTTTTGGTGTTATAGACCGAGACAGTAAATTTTTCTTGTTTTTCTGTATATTGTGTGTGTGTGAAAAGGAGGAAGTTTGAGCCAAAAATCAATAATGAATATTAGAAAGTGAAACTTCCTTAATGTTTATCTCTACAAGTAGATTTCATTGTTGATGATTTTTTTATTGAATTTATTGGGGCGACATTGGTTAATAAAATTATATAGGTTTCAGGTCGACAGTTCTATAATACATCATCTGTATATTGTAAACAAGTGGTGTTTTGGAACACACAAAAATCAGATCATTTTGAGACAGTTGTTAAAAAGTACATCAAAATATAATTTCATCATTCTCCATGTCTCTGGAGTAATGTGTTTATATTTTATGATCTGTGGTATATAGCCAGGATTTCTGACATTGTAATAAGATAAAACTGTAGCTTTCAAATAATAACCAGTAGCTAATGGCTCTCTGTACAGAGTTGGAAACAACCATCCCAATCTGCAGAAACAGTGTGTTTTGAAATATGAGCTGTTAGCATTTTGGGTTTTATTGAATTTTTAAACAATCATTTATCACTATGATAGTAAAGAGCCAGTGTTCTGAAGCATTATCTTAAAAACAGCTATGCTTAATGTCACAGCTTTTGATGTACATATTGAAGTTATAGCAGTACAAACAATTTCAATGTGTAGTTTGCATGTTAATATATATAGTTCAGAAAAACAAAGTTGTCCCCCTGCTCAGCAATCTTCCCCCCAGCCCAATTCAGTTTTGTGTCACAATAGAGCACATATTTCACTTAACTCTGTTTAGCTTCTTGGATAAGATTGCAAGCTCTGGAATAAGACTCCTTGGGTTCAAGTCCTGCCTCTACGCAAATTTGCTGTGCAACCTTGGGCAACTTTTTTATCATATCTATGTTTCTTTACCTGTAACACCAACATTGTAGGATTGCTGTAAAGATTAAACAAGTTAATACTGTTGCAATGCTTCAATTAGTGTCTGACATTTAGTAAGCACTTGGTAAATGTTAGCTATCATTATTATTATGTTTATATTTAGCTTCAGTTAATATTTATGAATATTTTTCTTTGTAACTCACATTTATCAAGTGCCATCAAATTTCTAAATTGAAGGCATTTGTCTATCATGCTATAGTAAGCAAATTTTAAAAGTATAAAATTAAACATTTTAAACTTAAGAGCTATAAAATCTAATTTTATATCATTTCATGTTACTGTTTTATCATGTTTATATATATTTAACTTGGGAAATTAAATATGGTAATGTTTTTTTTTATCTTTTATAGGTTGTGTAAATCCACTTGGGGTCACTGTTCCATATACAATAAGAACCCACCTATAGGATTTTCTTTTAGAAAATTATATATGCAGCTGGATGAAGGCAGCCTCACCTTTAATGCCAATCCAGTTGAGGTAAGTAAAGAACTTGAATATTTGTAACAGTTGAACTTGATTACTTTCTTGCTGCCACTTTTCAATATAATAAACTTGCAAGTAAAATAGGTCACTGCACATGCCTTTTCAATCACTGCGAAGCCCAGTATTCGAGCTATTGCTGTTTTTACCTTACCAGGTCACATTCCAATCTCTCCACCTGCTCACTTTGTATGGCAGCCTCCATGACACATGCAGTCCTCTGCTGGATGATTGAAATAATACTACATTATTAGTGGAGATCATAAAATATGTTCATCAAATTTTATCTGCAGCATTTTCTTCTTTCTTTGTTCATATTTAATAACAATGCTACTACTTTTATCAAAGATAATCACAAAAGGCATTGTTCTAGTTTGCGACACCTCAAAATGTCGTTAAATAATGCCTTTAATAATCTTAATTTCATTTGACATAGAAACTGCTTTTAGATTCTGTTATAAAATTGAATAATTTTGTATTCATTATTTAATTTTTGAAAAGACAATAAACAAGCACAAACAGAGAAAAAAGTGGGAGAAGCAAGAATAACTGCTTAGTAATTAATTAATTTTTTCTTAACATAAGAATGATCAAAAGACAATTCTTTCACGGACATTGCCCTCCCCCCCATTCTCATTTTAATATATTCTGTAAAGGTTCACATTTTTAGGTAGATGTTTAAATATCTACTAGATTTATCTTAGAAATATAGTAGCAATTATACAACACTCAGAACTACTACTTCTGACTGTATTATTTTCTGTGGTAAAACTTAACTGGCAGCTATTTTAATTTACTTAATTTTCAAAACTCAAGTTTTTGTTTTATTTGTTGTGGAATTATTAAAGGCTATTTAAATCATGCAGTCAAATATTTTTAAAATATCTTAACTTTTGCTGTGTTTTAATTAGAGAAATATTTCTCCCGTGCAAAATATTAAATGAATACTGATTTTATAAATATGCATATGATATAAATGACACCATATTTTTAAAGTTAAATTGATTTTTGTTTGTTATATATGATTACTTTCTTTGTTAATTTTTTTTTTTAAATATATCTTTATTGATTTCAGAGAGAGGAAAGGAGAGGGAGAGAGAGAGATAGAAACATCAATGATGAGTCATTAATTGGCTGCCTAGCCCACAACCCAGGCATGTGCCCTGACCGGGAATCGAACCCCGATCGTCTGGATCCTAGGTTGATGCTCAACTGCTGAGCCACGCCTGGCCGGGTTGTTAATATTTTTTGTACATGAATGAAAAATAAAATATAACGCCCCTACAAAGGTTTGCTGAAACATACACATTATCAGTTAAATCTTAACCCCACAAATATATATATATACACACACACTTAAGCCTGCTATAAATATTTAAATTAAGATATTTGTTCTGTCCTTTCACCACTGTTTATAGAGATTTTTACTTTCAATGAATAGAAAACTGATACTTTGTATGAGAATAGGATGATTTATAATAAGTTAAAGTTCAAATTATACAACTGAAACCAGTATGGTATTGATTTTTAGAAATTAATCATTTTTTAGAAGGTAAATGAGTAAACTGTCATAAACTTAGGTTTTGTAACTTGTCACTTTATTGCACATTTTTTCTGATGCCTTTATCATAAAATACACTTGTTTTTACTTTGTTTTTTATCAAACTCACATTCTTATCTATCAAAATATATAGCAACAATAAGCATGTCACCTTTTTGATCTTGCACTACGACATACCTGCTCTGTACAAGAGATTTAACTAACTACACCTTTTTGAAAAATGGCATGGTTTCAGGGCATTGTTATTTTTATTAGAATTAGGCATTACTTGATGGTAACTAAAACATTCATATGATGAACTTTATAATAAGATATATTTCACATCAGTCTCAAGTTAACTGAATGATGATTCCTGGAGAAGAACTGAAGCAGAATAAAGCATTGTTTTACTCTAGATACATAAGAATCGGGAAAGGCAGCTATTACACACCCCGTCTTATTATGCCCAGTTTATCAAGGCTTACTGGCTCATGACTCATGCTGATGTTGAGTAAAACTGTCATCTTCAATTCATATCACTTGCAAATGTTACATTCTAAGGAAAATGTAACTTGGTAAGTACTGAGTTGTAGATTTACAAAAGTCAGAAAAGTTGGATGTAACTGTTGACATTGATTATGGTAAGTAGTCATTCCTTGCTAAAGGAGTACCAATTTTTAAATCAAATTATAAAGCCATTCTTTTTATGCAAAGATGCAAATGTAGATAGGCCCTCATGTACTAGAATGTGATGAATATTTTTAAATATCTAAATTGGAAAAGCTAGATGTCAAAATATGTTTCCATCTTTGTAGCTACATATGTCAGACTGTAGAGTTCTCATTATACCTCCTCTAGAGTGTTTGGAGGGGGGGCAGAGGAAAGAGGTAAAATTACTCTTTATACCTGACAAAAAATTTTAAATTTTTAAGTCAAATGTTTGCTAAGAGAGGGATTGAAGTTATTAATTAAAATAAGAGGTTTAGATCTTCAGAATTATTTATCCATCCTACCTCCCATTGTTATTGAGAGTTGGCTGTATTTTCCTTATCTTCACTCCCTGCCCTGATTTAAAGATACCCTGGACTATTCCAGATGTATTGAATTTCCTGTTCTGAAAGGGGCACATAGAGCTGCCAAAAGGCATAGAGCTGAACCATTCAAAGTGACCTGTGGTTCCAGAATTCTGATTCTGTGCTTTTATGAATATTGGTGACTTAGCAAAATAGAATTCTGCCTTTACTAGAATGAACTTAAGATATAAATGGGCAAATAAGATATTGAAATACACTATAGGCGCAGAGAAATGAGGGGAAGTATTTTAATGACTATATTTTATACTTTCTTTCATTGACTAATATAATCAGTATCAATTTGGTTGTTTATCCAAGTCAGGCCTTCAACATTGAAATCATGTAACTGAGAGATATCATAATAGATGTTTTTATGTAGAACTTCTCTGTATGAGTCATACTTTAGACAAGTCTTAGGATGACTCTTGCCACATTCTTTGAGTGCTAGATATTAGTAAGTACCTTTTGGAGGTGTTTTTTTCCTCCTCACTGGAGCACTGTCATCAGATGTGTTATTTTGGCTTAATTTAAGCCTAAGAAGTAAATTAGTTTTGATATGTTTAAATGTAAGTGGTGTTTATTTTAAGTACCTGAGATAAGATGTATATAATTGTTGAGTATTGTAAAAAAAAAAAAAAAAGTTGACTTTTCCATAATTTTTAGTTCTCTACTTAACATTTGATAGCAAGCATCATTAAAATATTATCAAAATAAGAATACTTACAGCCACAGGGAACAAGATTCTCCAAAGGACATCGTTCATGTCACGGATATGGGTAACCAAACTCCACAGCAACTGCTGGCAGTGGCTCATGGGGTGGGGGAGAAGATCTGCACAGTTTGTGGTATGATTTATCTAGCACGCTGTTGTTGTATGCATGCCATTGTGATCCCAGCTGTATGTAAAGTCTTGATCTTGTGCATGAGCTTGTGTACTGTGTGGCAGGTGACCACATTCTAGTAAAGGAATGTGCTGAAAACCATCTGTTTACATTAGGCTGTATTTCCCCTGCATGTACAAGTTATGTGTGTTGATTTTATTCCACTAGCAGTATTATAATAAAGCAATTTTCTTATCCAGTATTATAATAAGGTAATTTTACTTATTCCTTGTGCTTCATTTAGTATTGAACATTTTCTTGACCTAGTTATTTTTAAATTTAGAGACTGAAAAATTAATGGTAACATGGTTTTTAACTATTATAGGTTTATTTTTGTGTAAATATGTTTTTTAAAAGTTTTTAAGCGTAATATCCTCATTGTGGTCAGGTAAAAGAAGTCTCTATTTTTAACTATATAAGCACATTTCCTGTGTTCATACAAAAAGACCCACATGCATACAGTTTTATGCATTTTGTTAGACTGATCTGGGAGAGAACCTCTTATGAGAAATATTTTAAATTTGACCTGTGCATGTGTTTTAGATAGAAATGCATAAACAAATTATTTTCAAGATAGCATATTCTTTTTGTTGTTGGACCAGCTAAAATATAAACAGGAAATTTGTAGTTCTCCATTATAGAAAGGAACACAGGCATTTATACTCAATTCTTATGAATAATATCTCAGAAATTAAATGTTACTTATTTTTTTGCTCCAACATACAGCAGCAAAATCTTCATTGCCATTATTTCATAGCATAGCAACAGTGATGAAAAATAGCTTTTATTTTTATTGCTAGAGATAGAAAACCCTGATCGTATCATCAGAATTTACAGGTAAGCAATTCCCAAGTGTATTCTTTGGCAGTAAGATGAAGGTGTACTTTGAATAATGCCTGATAGCATAAAGAAAGAAAAGTAAACGAAAATTCCTAAATTCTTAGCTTATGTTATAAATTAAAATATACCTAGGTATAATTTGTCCTCAGCGCCCTCACTTTGCAGCTCCACTCAGCCAGTACCATGTTTTCTGTTCTGCTAGCTGCAGTACCCACATTTCCCTGTATGTATCAACTAGAGCGTTTGGGGTTTGAAGGACCAGAGAACCTAACTAATAATGGCTTAAACCATGTACATTTATTTACTTCAAATGACACCCAGAGGTGGGTATCCCAGTTATTTCAGTGATACAGTGATCTCATGGACCCTCAATGTGTTGACTTTTGCCCTTTCTTGATAACAGGATAGCTATCACTGCTCAAAATAGCTCATTCTCATGTGAAAGTACCCTCAGCACAAAGAAGGCAGTCAAATAAACTCTCCTCAAATTCCTTCTACTTATTAAGGAGAAAAAAGTCTTTTTCAGGAGCCACCAGTATACTTGTGCTCATTTATTATGAACAGAGCTGAATCAAATGAACACCCCTACACCAACAGAGAACAAAATAGAAAGGATTACATGATTGACTAACCTTAACATGATTTAGTAACTGTGACTGAGAT